TTAAGACACTCGTTTGCAAGGAGGTTAAACCCCAACCAAACAAACACATATTCAAACCCCGTCTCAAAGTCAAAGTCAAAAGTTTTATTTAGAGTCGGTACATGGTATAACAATACAACATTAGCTCTAAGGAGCTATTAAAACCGACTAACATACAGGACATACAGTCGGTTTTAATAGCTCCTTAAGGTTAATGTTGTATTGTTATACCATGTACCGACTCTAAATAAAACTTAGATACGTCTGATACATTTACCAGTTTACCGCGAGCGGTCAGTCATTTGACCGTTTCGATCGGTAGATATCCTACAACTCCCGCCAAAACTAACTCGATCGATCGTCGGTTTCGCTTCTTTGGTTGCAAAGCAAGAATTAGTTGTACATTTACGGTACTGGTATATAAAATGTATGTGTATTGTATTGACAAGTAAACGATAAATATATCTCATTATATTGGTAGCTAAAATACACTGTACGGACAAAGTTGACATGTATACGTGAAGTCAATTATAATTGATGTAGTCGCAGAATCATATAGTTTGATCTCCTTGGTTATATATGGATTAGTTTGGTTTGGTTTAGTATTGTTTAACGTCCTATCAACAGTAATGGTCATTTAAGGACAGCCTCCCCTGTGTGCAAGATGCATGCATGCAGTGTATGCGCGGAACTGATGCCGACTTTATAGTGCTACCTCACTGAAACATACTACCGAAGACAACCAGCAGGACACCCCACCCGGTCACATTATATTGACAACGGGCGAACCAGTCGTCCCTCTCCTAAGTTGCTGAGCGTTAAGAAGGAGTAGAAACTTTACAGACTCTGGTATGTCTCGGGCAGGGGACAGAAACCACGCCTTCCTCACAGGGGCGAACGCTCAACTAAAGGCCAAAAATGAGGCATTGACATTAGGAAAAGAAAATTGTTTAGAAAGAAGAGAAAGATATTGCCAATCAAAGTTGAACGAAATGAACGTACACAGCCAATTTTCCAAATATTCAGTGTCAATACCACACACAACAAGCAGTAACGTGCTACTTTATAACGTAAAAACTTACACTGTTTTAAAATTAATTGAACGTTTAAATAACGCTAGATTTTTTCAACGTTAAAGATGGCGTTTCGGAAAATTGGCTGTGTATCTGTATGAATGTTGGTGTGGGCAAAATATGTACTGATGAATAAACATATGTTGTCCTGCAACTTGTTTTATAAGAAAATGTAGCCCGAGTTTCCTCTGGTCCCACACCAGACATCTATCTGTCAAAATGTTTTAAGTCTTGTGTCAGGGCCAGAGGAAACTCGAGCTAATGAAGATCCAGCAACAGCAGTAAATTAATCGGGAAAATCAGCCAGAACATGTATCTATCGGAATCTTCTGTTAACCCTTTCACCCCTATGTTACTTTTGTAGACTCTACCATGCATTGATCTTGATGAGTCCATTATGGTCTACAGTGGTGAAAGGGTTAATGTAGACTTATGATGCTTAATGAGATCAACGGATCTGTGTCGTATTGGGTATCAAACACATAACCAGCGTAATCTAACTGGGCACACGAAAGTTTCGTTCTTCAGTAGTGTAACTCGAGAAAGAGAAATGCAACGGCCAGACCGGGAATCGAACCCGGGAACCTACGAACTCTAGAGGAACGCTCTACCGATTGAGCTACCGGGTTGCCGACGATCGACCCAGTACAGTTCCTCTACCTTCCTTCCTCCTTTTTGTAAGTCTTCGCCCCTGAAGACGGAACTACATTGAATTACCACCCAGATTAGGATACCCCCTGGCGAAGCATTCTTCCAGTGCTTGAAACAAAGATTGGTAAGCTCGCCTGTTTCGTAACAGGAGAAAGAGAAATGCAACGGCCAGACCGGGGTTCGAACCTTTCGAACTCTAGATGGACGCTCTACAAATTGAGCTACGTGGTCGCCGACGATCGACCGAGTCCAGTTCCACTGCAAGTAGCATTACCTGATAGGAGGTGACTACAGAATGATAGAAAAAAAGTCACAAATAAAAACGATGTTGTGCAAAAGGAGAACTGTCTCGTAGAAAACGGGAAGAATATTAGTCGTTTGTTTTGGTACTTTTTTTAAGAAGTTTCGTTACTTCCAAAAAGGCATTTGGAATTTTCTATTTAAGATTTTGAGACGTAGACTTACTTTTGAACTTTGTACTTCGTTTACTTCGTGTATCATGTGTGTTGTTGATTTTAAATTTTAAGATTCTTCAGCATTTGGCTTTTGTATTCACAAAACAGTATCGAAACAACCTATTTTCAGGTACCGGGACAACCGGGTACCCATCTCGGTACCGAAACGTCTCTACCCTGACGGGAATGGAGAACCATATGGTGGTCGTATACCAATCTTTGGTGAATTAGTACACTTTGACAAGATTTTCCGAGAATGAAAAACGGTTATCACTTATGTGAATGATGAGAAAGGAAGACCGTGTACCAACCATCTTGGCATGAATATCGGTAAAGAGAGTGTGCGTACGTAGTTATTATGGTGTTTGTCAGTTAAAGTTGGGAACATACACTTTCGTTGTGTCTTTTAGGAGTGATAATTACTGTCTCACGATGGCTACGAAGAAAGAGGGGGTACCATTGCAAGGTCAACAGCAAGACGGGACAATAGCTGTGTTTGAAAGAAAATCTGTGCAAAGTCTCATTTCGAATGACATCGACGACACCCCAACCAATTCTAGTCTGATAAAGATCACATCTTGAGGACGAATTCGAAGTGGACATTGTCGAACCGCCAAACCTTTCCGTTAGATTCTGTTCTAAATTCACATAAGTATTATATAGTCCCATTGACCGGAGCTATCCTTGACCATTTGGATGTTAAGATTCTCTGTAGAACTTTTCCCGCGATGGCTACAGTAGAAGCCATTGGAGATGTCGTCCCATGACCGGGCTTGATGCCCATTGACCAGTAGTGGTAATATTGACCGGATATATAGTTTTTAACAATTCCTCTTGTGGTGTGCTATTGCGGACGAAAGACCAGAAGTCGCGTTGGCGACGTTGAGCATTTGATTGTTGGAGAAAAAATATATGTTTATTCAAGAATATTTGCGTGAGGATTGTGATAAAGAGTTATTTTAATTAGTTCGTTTCCATTTTTTTTTTTTTTTAGATTTATGAAACTTGTCCCCAACTTTGTTCCTGCTTGGCATAGTCTTGCTTAATTGATATCATCCAGACTCTTATAAAATGGAAAGCCATTTCCCGAACATGCGTTTCCAGGATAAAGATGCTAGCGACGAATTATGGCAGCCCAATAATGACCGAAATCCAATCTTCTCTACACCCTTGATTCACTGTTAGGCATTTGTTTTGTGAGCTCTCCTGGGGAAGAGGACGAAATTGGTCTGTAAAAGTCAAGGTCGTTGTTATAAAAGTTTTTTTTCGTGTAAAAATCACTGATTCAGAACAACTGATGGCACAACACACATACTTGCCACGAGGGTTTGGTCTATATTGAAGAAGAATACTATTCATTTGGCAGTGATTTTTATAAAGTCAATGCCGCTGTTACTATAACTATATTTTTCGCATGAGGGTTGCTCTATAAAAGACTAACACTATTATTTTTAGCCTTGATTTGAAGGTCAATGTCGATATTACTAAAAACTAGAACTTTCTCTCATTTTTTTCCCCGGATCCTCACTTTAGAGTTTACAATCATAAAAAGCGGAGACTTGAAATGGGAGTCACATTAATGGATGGGAAAATATCCCCGTGATTGTAAAGCGTATTCTGTCAAAGGTCAAGGTCACTGTCACTGGATTTTCTTGTCCTATTATTAACTTGAGAAATGATTGCACAAAGCGCAAATTTGGAATTTTAGTTGCCAGAGGGAAGAGGTTTAAAGTTAACCCTAATGATTTTTTGCCTGGTAAGCCAAAGTTCAAGGTCGCTGTTACCACTAATAGCATTTGCCGTAACAAATTACCTGTCCGGTTTCCACACTTCAAAAGAAATTATCGCACAAAGCTTAAACCTGATTCCACCAAGATAATGTGGGTTATATACTATTCGATTTAGGTATGTGTTTTGTCAGAGGTTATGTTATTAAAAAAGAAATTGTCTAGAACTTATCTCTGAGGAAACAATTTCCAACTAGGAGTGGGTTTAGGAAGAAAAACTGCATACTTAGATTGGAGAAAATCCTCAGTCCTATCCTGATATGAAACATACATTTTTGTACTTTAACGAAACAAAACAAGCCTGCTCTAGGCTAATGCAAATACCAAATGAACCAAATGCTATCGAGTTTAATGGACAAGTGTATACCTCATGTCAATGTTTTAAGGAAACTAACATTCACTTTCGTAATCATCTGATAAAATAGTATTTTCTTAATTATTCGATTTTTGTTTTCTCCAAAAAAATGTGTGTTTTTTTTTATATATTTCAAATTAATTTCAAATATTTTAATAAATTAATTACAATTATTACATTAATTTATTTTAAATATTAATAACTGAATTTCAAAATTTTCAATATTAAGGATTTTTTACATGGATAAGAGGGAAGCCCTTTCCACATTAGCATGCCATATTGTATATCCATATTGCTAATTTAACTCACTTTTAAAAGCAAATTTCTAATTATAATTTTTTTTCTACAACCTTAATTTTAAACATAGTTTTGAATTATTTAGATATATTCTGGTAATAATTTCGAAGTGCTTTTCATTGACCTGACAAGCTACATATGTCTGACCTGACGTTCGAATCGAACGCGTACTTAATAAATAATACTATAATCAAGATTAACAAAAATAAGTATGGTCTTTTCAATATGAATGATTTATCGTCATCATTTTAGCACTTCATAAGCGTCAATTTATTTTTTGATATCAAGGAAACATTTTCAACTATAGTTTTATATTTTGTCAAGTAATAGCTGGATCCGAGACGTCCCTGGCTCGAAGGACAATTCGAACATCGACATCCACCGACTATTTACGAAACAGCGGCTACGTTTATATTGCCTATTTTCTTTAACGCAAGCGGCATTTCTGATTTTGTTGAAGTTGACAACCAACGTGAACCTACAGTGATGAGTCTAGCCCTAAGGTAATAGTTTGAAAAGAATTCTGATTCTTTAGTCTGAAGTTGCATTTAGATAAGATGTATTGTAAGTTTGTTTATTCAGACAATTCATGCATGTAGCCAACCATTTAGTCGTGTTAAAGTTGACTTATAAACAGCAAGTTTTCGTTTTCACTTTGACATGTTTCAACAAGTTTGTAAACAAATGTTTACATATATTTAAACGTATTGTTTGTTTCTGCAATTATTACAGCTAACTACCATATATAAGGTATTCACTTTTTTGCCAATAGGCAAAATATAGATAAGTAATAACAAAACTACAGCGATTTTCGAGAAATTCGCAAAAATAAATATCCCAATTTAGGTGTTTTACTTCAGCTGTTTCCTCATGATAAGTCGCAGTCGGCAAAATCATATCCGATAGAAAAAAAGCCGACCAGCGGCCTCGTATGTTATAGGAGTAGATAAGTGGATGCTCTCAAAATATGATATCTTGTACATAAATAATAATAATAATAATCTTTATTTAACGTCGTGTACAATTGTCAGCAACAAACATAAGCTCTGTACCGTAGAGCTTTTATTACGACGCCACTCAGGGAACAAATGGTGTTTTCGTGGTGAAGGAAACCCACGGGGGAAAACCACCATGCCATCGGAGGGATAACAACTAACCCTATCAGACATCACTCTCTTTTTTCCACCACCGCTGGGGATCAAACCAAAATTCTTGGGAGAGCGAGTGGTCTGAAGCTCACGCTTGATTGCACACAGTAGTAAATAGACTGTGGGTGTTAGCGATCACGGCTTCCGATCGCGAGGCACCATAAACTGGTTTCTTTGTAATTGTTTTTTTGTTTTGACTGACAGAGCCGAGTTTGCGCTGGAGAAGGGTAAGAAAAAGAAGAAGAGGGAATTAGCTGAGGAGCAGAAACAAGAAATCAGGGAGGCTTTTGACTTGTTTGATACAGACAAAGACCGGGCCATTGACTACCATGAACTCAAGGTAACTATATATTACTGTTTGTGTAATTTGGCCTAAAATTATGGTAATGGGAAGAACATATAGGTGAGGGTTAACTTATGAAAAACAAAAAAAAGAATACAATCAAGAACATCTGATATCCTTTCACTGTTCTATATTGGTGCAGACAAGTTATTATGATTTTATTGAGGATTTATTTTGCTATGAAAGACTTCGCTTCATGATGACAACATAGAAGCCTGAAATACTGTCAAAATTAATACTTACAGTAATACAAAAAAACAACTATAATATGCTTAAAATATTTTTGGTATTTTTTTGGTATTACTGTTATTATTTATTTTTGACAGAACTTCAGGCTCCTGTGCTGACAACAGTTCAATTATTTTACTTACCACTGGTTAAAGTTAACCAACTTTGAGGAACCAGGGTCTAGACGTTATTTCATTGGTCAATCCACAGGAGCCTGAAATTCTGTCAAAAATTAATAATAACAGTAGTACAAAAAAAAAGGACATATAATATGCTGGAAAATGATGATGTCAGGTAAAATGCATTGTGCTATCATCTTCCGTTGTGATCATAATTCATGGCAATAGTTTCCCAATCTGATTAAAACAAGATCTTTGATTTGACTCCCCATACTCTACGTTCTACGTTCCAGACTGAGACGTAGCGTATGGGGAGTCGAATCAAAGATCTTAAATATTAAGCTGTTTGCTGATGATACCTCACTTTTTGTAATTGTTGAAGACGACATGGTCGCTCCTTGCATTGCACTGAATGAAGAGTCTAGATTCTGTTAACGAATGGGCAAACAAGTGGAAAATTAAATTCAATCCCAACAAAACCATAGGACTAACAGTGTCTAGAAGGAATAGGAAGCAACCCCCTCTTTTCTTTAATTATAGATAATTAGCTGATGAAATAAGTCATAAACATTTAGGGTTACATTTTAATTCTAAAGGTACATGGGGGATCATATTCATGATATTTTTAGTAAAGCTTATATTAGACTCAACATATTGAGAATACTTCAATATAAAATCGATAGAAAATCATTGGAAACGTTATTTTATTCTTATATAAGACCTGTGCTTTAGTATGGTGATATTAATCTGGAATAACTGTACCATTGGAGAATCTAGTATGCTTGAATCTGTTCAAATTGAAGCTATGGAAATTATATTGGGGTTAAGAATCGGGACATCTTATTGAAAACTATATCTTGAGGTAAATATGGAAACTTTAAATTTAAGACGTCATAAACATAAATCAATTCTAATGTATAAGATAATAAACCGCTTAACACCTGACTATCTTTATAATATTATTGTACCTTTTATTAATAATGCCTATAACCCACATGGATTAAGAAATACTAGATTCTTTAATGTACCTCGAGCTCGAACTCATATCTACTAGTTTCTTTCCTGATACAATGAACTCATGGAACTTGTTAGATTCTTCTATAACATCTGCTAATTCCCTTACTTCATTCAAATATAGACTTAATAAGTATTATAATAATCTAGTTGATAATATTTGCCTGATCTTTAAACAGTGCAATCCTAGGAATCTTAATATAATACTTTTTTCAAATTAGGCACAAGGCAAGTGACTTAAACTTCGATAAATTTTCTGACCACCTTATTCAAGATGGCAGTTGTTCTTGTGGAGCACCGCATGAAGATGCTGATAATTTTTTTCTTTTTCTGTCAAAATTATTCTGATTTCAGGCTTGATTTTTGTGAAATATATACATGTAATGTAGTAGGATTTATTAGTCTTAAATGACTTACATCAAGAGATAAAATATAATGAGCTATCACCAGAAATTAATACTTTATTATTATCTAAAGTTGAAAATTTATTAATTTAACTAATAGATTCATCAAACTCGAATATTATTAGTTTATTTTTATTTAATACTTCCCGTTATATCAATCTGCTCCGAGAGTGTGCATGTGCGCGTGGGTATAGAAGTGTGTATGTTGCCAGTGGCGCAGTACTTGTACTATAACATGGAAAGTGACCTAGTTATCTAAGCCACCGGTGGATGAGTGAGCCTTCGTATTAGTGTGTGTAGTTCAACATTCAGCAATATTATTAATTCAAATATAATTATATGTACATATTTTCCATATAATTGTCCATCTATTTCAATAATCTCAATAAATAATTAATTATCGATAAAGTAAATATACCTTATTATTCTGTGTAAATGTATATATGTTGTACCGGTTCAGGAGAAGACTTACAGTGTATATAGGCACTGCCTGTTGTCTAATCCTTTTGTTAATACAATAAAATTTGGTGTAACGAATAGTAATCTGGTTTTAATCAGATTTATAGTTTCCCAGATATCAGAAGTAGAAATAATTTCTAGATATCATATGAGCGTTATGGGAAAAGTATGTCCCCAAACTCATGATTGCTGGTTATCATGTTTATCTAACTCTCATTTCTATAGAACAATCGATAAACCCTTGAGTCTGAAAATTAATTGACTTAAGCAAGATAAACATGATAACCTACATCAATCGTTGAGGAACCTCTATACAGTATACTGAAGTATCTAAGTGAGTTGATACCTACAGGGTGTACAACTTCTAATTAAAAAACTAGCCTGTAGGCAGATTTTAAAAACTCTACTAGCCCACCAATTTGTTCATTATAATTATTGAAATTTTCACTCGTCCTGACATAAAACATTTTAGACCCAGATGTCCAGTTAGTGATATTGTACACGTCGATCTACCACTACCAGTGGCAGATACTAAACTCAGAACAAGAAGGCTCCACTACCAGTAGCTGACAATGATTGGACTCAATAAAAATATATCAAATACTTATTCATGACATGTTTAAAAGAAAACAAATGTCCTGAAAACCCCCCAACTGAAATGTCAGTTTTCAAACGATCAAAGTGTACATGAAATATCATTAATCATTTCTACAGTGGGTTTTTTCTTTCTAATTTGAATTTGTAGGTGTTTGAGAGTTATTTCTATTACCTCCCTTTGTCTATACAGGTAGCCATGAGAGCTTTAGGATTTGACGTGAAGAAAGCAGATGTTCTGAAAATTCTCCGTGATTATGACAGAGAGGGTACAGGCAAAATTTCCTTTGAAGACTTCAATGAAGTCGGTAAGTACGATCTGGTGACCTCTAGAGGAATGATCTAGGTTAGTGGGTGTAGTAATAGAGACATTTTATGGTAGCGTTAATTGTGTGACCTGTGGGTGGTCACCCGTCCAGCCAGTGACCATGCTGGACATTGCTGACCTGGTTAACGTGTCCCAAGGTGTTACTGCATCACTGGAAATATGGAATATAGCACTGAATCACTACACGCAGGGCCCATTGTAACGTGCAGGCGATCACACATACAGCCAGTGACCACGCTGGATGTTAAGTACTGAAATAATGAGCCTGTCCCAAGCTTATACTGCATCACTGACCCGCCAGTAAGGCAGTATTGTTCTCTCATATTCCTTGGCTGTCACAAATGTAGTTAACCAGTGTAGTTATTAACAAGTTCTTTAAATGGTCATAGACAAATTATGTCAACTTTCCTAAGGCATCAGATAAAAATTCTTGAAGAGTTGATCCTTAAGCATCATCATAGTTTGGAGTGATTTATTTTGCCTAATTTCACTACCGAATATACAATGTAAGCTGCTTCCGTTAGCTAAAAAGTACTTTATTTTTCCAAAAATGAGGAATGCCTTCCCAATTTCAGAACAAAATTATGCCATATATTCCAGATTCATGAAGGAACAGGCTGTTGTATAATCAACATGTATTAAGAAAAAACACTGGTTTCAATAGATGCTTTATGGTAATACTGATTCCTTCCAATTCTTTCATCTTCAATCACAGTGACAGACATGATGCTGGAGAGAGACCCGCAGGAGGAGGTGCTCAAAGCTTTCAAATTGTTTGATGATGACACGTCGGGGAAGATCAGCCTCCGCAACCTCAGGAGAGTAGCCAGGTAAATATACTCCAAACTAGGTAGACAGGAAAACACACTCAGGAGGGTAGCTAGGGAAATACTCCAAACTAGGTAGACAGGTGAACACACTCAGGAGAGTAGCCAGGTAAATATTCTCCAAACTAGGTAGACAGGTAAACACAGTCAGGAGGGTAGCCAGGTAAATATACTCCAAACTTGGTAGATAGGTAAACACACTCAGGAGGGTAGCTAGGTAAATACTCCAAACTAGGTAGACAGGTAAACCCACTCAGGAGGGTAGCCAGGTAAATATACTCCAAACTAGGTGGACAGGTAAACACACTCAGGAGGGAAGCCAGGTAAATATACTCCAAACTAGGTAGACAGGAAAACACACTCAGGAGGGTAGCTAGGGAAATACTCCAAACTAGGTAGACAGGTAAAAACACTCAGGAGGGTAGCCAGGTAAATATCCTCCAAACTAGGTAGACAGGTAAACTCACTCAGGAGGGTAGCTAGGTAAATATACTCCAAACTAGGTAGATAGGTAAACACACTCAGGAGGGTAGCTAGGGAAATACTCCAAACTAGGTAGACAGGTAACCCCACTCAGGAGAGTAGCCAGGTAAATATTCTCCAAACTAGGTAGACAGGTAAACTCACTCAGGAGGGTAGCTAGGTAAATATACTCCAAACTAGGTAGACAGGTAACCCCACTCAGGAGAGTAGCCAGGTAAATATACTTCAAACTAGGTAGACAGGTAAACACACTCATGAGAGTAGCCAGGTAAATATACTCCAAACGAGGTAGACAGGTAAACACACTCAGGAGGGTAGCTAGGGAAATACTCCAAACTAGGTAGACAGGTAAAAACACTCAGGAGGGTAGCCAGGTAAATATACTCCAAACTAGGTAGATAGGTAAACACACTCAGGAGGGTAGCCAGGTAAATATACTACAGCAGGTAGAAAGGTAAATATACTCCAAACTAAGAAAACAAATGATGTTATCCACCGAACCATTGGTGGCTATAGACAGGTAAACATGTTGGAGAGATGGGACAGGTGAACCTTTCGAGGGTCAGCAATGTAAACAAACATCATCTTGGCTATTTCTCCAATGATAGACATAGACTTTTTCAGGTTATATCATATGATTATGTTGTATCCCGCCCTATTTGTAATTCTATCTTCTGATTGGTCACTAGGTGATGAAATAACAGCGCAATATTGTGCAAAATTCTTTTGTTTTGATCAGAAATTAAACAAGTATATGTCATTACTTATAAACGAAAAAAGTGTATCTTTTAAAATTTAGTTAAAAGGGATAACCATAACTTATTTGGGGGCACTGTATAATTCCAAAAGGTACATGTATTGCAGTTATTTCTTTATTATTTAAGGAAAGGGAATGTTATTGAGTTTTTGTAACTTGTCTCCAAATCATTTTCCATTTGTATATCTAATGCATTCATGGATATATATATACAGGGCATTTTTGAAGGCCAATTATGGACCAGTTCCCCACTCCAATTTCAGCTTTATATATATTATTATTATTATTATTGTATCATTTGCGGTATATAATATCATAACAGTCACACACACACTTTGTTCTAATGCATACGCTGTGGTCGATTCGAACCATGTATTATGAACAAAATACAAAAATTTAAGATGTCATCCATGCCCCCCTTTCATACTTTCCCCCTGGCTCCGGCCTGCGTCCACCCTCCCCGGCCGGCGAGTCATGCCCCAACAGATCTAGAGCATGTTTTCCCCTATTTCTGAAAAAGTAAATGACTTTTTATTCCTGCATTAATCCCTGGCATTATTATGTCTAAAAGAAAGTTTACACCTAATAACTAAGGAGGATCATGGATGGCTGGGTAAACAAGTCCAATTAAGTCAAGAGAATTTCATCTAAAAGTCGGTATACGGTTAAATCAGGCAACACAAGCCTATGAACAGCTTTTCCAACCGACTATATAACAAATAAAAACAGAGGTAGCATAAGATAAACATAACAAGCATGCAAATCTATAACATTGTTTACAGTGACACATAAGGTTTAAGCACATTGTTAAATGTACAAAAGATAGTAAGTGTGATTTCAGAATGAAAATTTCAGAATAACTTTTGGCGCATACTATTATATTAACTCATTCACCCCAGAACTTTCATCATGAACTATTCCAACCTTTGAATTGGAAGAGTTCAAATGTATCTTCAAGGGGATGAGTTAAGGTGAGAATTTATAAAACAAACTCAGGTATGTAGCCAGGTAAATAATGTCAGGTGACTGGACATGTAAACAAATGTAGGAGGATGAGTTTACCCAATTTCATTGTAATTGTACCATATTGTGTTACAGGGAACTAGGAGAAAACATGACCGACGAGGAGTTACGAGCTATGATTGACGAGTTTGACAGAGATGGAGACGGAGAGAGTAAGTTCTCTGACACCTGAGAGTTTTCAATTTAACAAAGCTCTGCAGATATAAAATACAACTTCTCGTAAAGATTTACCTATCTCATGAAATAAAGTCTTGTTTTTTGTTTCACTTGTAAACAATTTAAAATCACCACCTTGACTTCCTGTCTATTGTCCTTACTGCATGTGAGATAATTATATATAAAAGGAATGTAAAACAATGGCCACTGAACATATTTATATCTTGAATTTATTAAATCATCGATCAAATACTGCAGAACATAAAACATCTGTGAGAACTTTCTTTCACAGTTGTATTTTATATTTAAAAACAGTTTTATTGAAGTAGACTTTCATGGATAGAAACATCTATTGGTATTTAATGCCTCGATCAAGTGGGTGGGGGAGGGAAGTGCCATTTGATTCAAAGTCCTCGGTAAAATACTAAAGTTTTTGCTTACCCAATCATAGATGATGTCACTTTTCATGGCATTGGTTGTGATTGGTTAAATCAAAACTTGAGTCAATTTTAGACTTTAGATTATTTCATGATCTCGGGACCTGCAAATGTGCTAATAATGAAAAAAGAGTTAATGAATTTTTCATATTGTGATTCTATTTCCTGTTTATTTTTCAGTCAATGAGGATGAATTTATCGCCATTATGACAGGAGACACGTGAAAAATATTGCCAGTGTTGTGTGTGAGCTATATATTCTTATTTAAATATATTGTTTGATGACAGGGACAAATTCAAAATATCCAAAGTTAAAGGTTAACCCAGAAATTCTATAAAAGCAAACAAACTAAATTGATGCATTAAAAGCAGTATAATATATGTATGTATATATATTTTGATCACAAGTGCTTGCTTAACAGTTACATGATGTGACATGGGATGTTCTTGAGCTTTTATTTGAAAAATATTATATGCATTTCATTCCTAATATAAAATAAAATGATATCTTTTAAGCATAACACATCAATACGGTAGGGTTATACAAAGAATTAAAATAAGCTCTTAGCTTGTTCTCCAATCCTTCTGAAATAATATGTATAATAACCTTGCCTAATTATTGAATAAAATACTGGTTAAACTAACTTATGTTATGGCAATATAAAATGTAAGGTATGTGTATGTAAAAATATGAGAGAAGTTGTGGTTAATTTTATAACTTTAAGACTTCTGGTTCGGTGAAACCTATTCGGAGAAAGATATTTCTGGTTTTTTTAATTGCTTGGCATACTTTTGATACCAAAGCAATATGGCCTTGGATTAACATATATCTGCTGTTTCTATAGTGAATTAGCTAAAGTTAAGTGTATTCTCTAGACCTTAATATTGTAGTCTAGATATGATGTGTTTTTGGTTTGTATTTATCATTGCTTGATTTTTGACATCATTGTCTTTTTGATGTCATTAAATTGTATTTTTATGATTTCAAAATTCTCTGAGAATGACATTCCAGTTAATTTACTTCCTATGCTAATCTGAATATGATGATTATTTCAAATCAAAAAAAGAAAGAAAAACGGAAACCTAGAAATGAAGGAACACTAATTTGAATACAGCAAAATCAAGATTTACCTAGTTGTGAATCACTTTTTCCGACAAAATGTATATAGCTTATGACTGTTAACTCATTCACCCCTGAAGACACATTTGAACTCTTCCAATTCAAAGGTTGGAATAGTTCATTATGAAATTTCAGGGGTGAATGAGTTAAGGCTCAATAACCCCCGCCAGTCATGTTCCCAGCAAAACTGGTTTGATTTTAGATGAATGGGATACTTAAACAGTATAAAAAATATATATATCATAAAGGCCAATCTGTCTACAAAAACATTTCTAAATGTGGAAAGTCAGTAAGTCACATTCCATGTTGATAGGTCACAAGGTCAATGAGTAGATCGGATGATTCAAAACTGTATAAATCCCTTTAGCTACTTCAAAATTACAAACAAAATTGCGAAAATTAAAACATTAATGTATTGAAGTTGAAATATAAATTGACAAAAGATTGTATTTTTTTATGGATTTTTAGCCGAGTATAAGATATGCCAACAAATAATTTTGGGAGAAAATGAGAACGAATTAATCTGGTCTATTATGGTTTGCAATATCCATTTGCACTTGTGAAGCTGGTAGATTCAGCCATGGACGTTATTGTTGGGGTCTTACTTATTAGTGTGTAATCCAGGGGCCTGTTCGTTTATGTGGAACAACCAGATTGTCATTTTTTTAAATGTAACATATTTTGGTATAAATCCAGGTTGTTCTGCAAATGTTTATGCAGGACTTGTCTGGAACGAACAACTCTTGTCCAACCGTCTTGATCACAATGAACGAAAGTGACCCAGATGTCTGCTCTATTGCTTATACTATGTGTTCCTAACATGCTTTGCGATCGAATGACGTACATTGCCCTGATGCCATTTTTTTTATCAGCGAGTTTGTGGATGAATGTTAGTATGTAAGGTTATATGTACGTGTGTGTGTTTGTTAATGATAGTGTACATTGGTTGGTGAAATATGGACTATTGTTTAGTACAAGTTTTACTGTACATCTGTCAGGATGTGCAAATATGGACTATTGTTTAGTACAAGTTTTACTGTACGTAAGCCTGTCAGGATGTACACATGTCACTAGATGTGGATGAGGATGTGTCAATACACAGGTACTTCCCAAAATTCATTAAATTTCCTTGGTTATTATGCACTACAAGTATATATACCCATGGGGAAAATGAATATGTGACCAGTACCTATTTTTTATTATATAAGGATGAGAAGGTGTTTGTACACAGGTACTAAATACATATATATACTAGGTAACCACCCATACGGAAATTGTGTCGTGACCAGTACCTCTGTGTGTGAGAGGAATAGACTCTATATGTGGGGAGTAGCTAGATGCAGAGGTGTTCTAATATTTTATCTGTGATGTGATTCTGTAGTGTTATGAATGCAGCATCATTATACATTATTGTACATTACCTTTTGAGACTGTCAAAAGATGTTTCCTTTTGAGACTGTCAAAAGATGTTTCCTTTTGAGACTGTCAAAATAATAAATCTTTTGACATAGACGTTTTTTGTTGACATTGTATTTTTTAACACGTAATACCCTAGTAATAATATTATTACCCGACTTCTCTGCCCCGACGCAAAATATATAAAAAAAGTCGCGTCGTCAGAAGCTAGGTTATCGCAGCTAGTAAGATCAATCTGGCGTTAAAAAATTGGCGTCAAACCGGAGGTTGCTTTTGCGGTCAATGGCGTCCTTTAATTGTGACGTCATATTAAATATTGTCTCTTCCCACACCGTGGTAACGAGGTGAGGTAATGATCTCCATCTTTTCATTCACTGGTGGGCAGCAGTATCTTAAAGTTTGCTGTTGTATTTGGTATACGGATTTACATGTATCTACATGGTGACAATGCCATTCTGTATTTTACATGGGCTATAACTCTTTTTGAAGTTCTAAGTTTGTAAGTGTTACTGATTCAGATTTTAAGTGTCTGATCGGTTTCAATGATTATAACATGTCCAGCGCATTCACAACATCACAGACAGTTATGAAATGGCACATTCTCGGAAGTTCTTTCATCGATTTAGGTAACGTAGCATTTTTTTCTTGTTTATGTTCTGCTAAAATATATTAACAGTGGAGTTAATATGATTTTATTCATTTTGCATGGAAACATCTATCTTATTTTGAGGCTAGTATGCCTCTCAACAGCTCGTAAAAGAGAAATTAAGCTCCAGATGACATAGGTATACATATGAACTACATATCGGTCGCTTAGGATAATGACATGTTATAAGTCCGGTGAACTATTTTTATGAGGACATCAACCTTAAAATCTCGCTTACTTATCTCATCTTGGGTATCGGGATGTTGTTTTGCCGCTGTATATTTTTTACCGGCTTCAACTAGCCACAATACCGTGTAGGAGGATATATTGCCGCCGGGTTTATATTTTCGCGATTTCGTAGGTCAATAACGTAATCGGGAAAAATAATCCGCATAATAACATGACAAGCGTAAAATATGAGTCGCGATAATAAACTTCATAACCGTAGTGTCGTCATGGAGTAGCGAGTTTGTGGTTGTAACAATTCATTTCCGTCAAATGTAAATCGAGAAATTATAATCCGTGTACATTTAAATTTCTAATTTTGGGTAAAAAAAAAACCACTAACCTTTAAACCCGCATCAATAATCTAGTATGCGGTAGTTGAGATCTCAATCATATTTATAGATAAACAATGATGTTAATTGATGACTTATTGCTTAATATTTTTTTTAACCATTTTCAATCATATACAAACAACTATCACGATTGCGAATTTCCAACTGTGTTTGCTAAAGTCCAACACGTTTTTCATTAACTGGTTTATAAATTGCTGGGGTATCATATCGTTGTTTAGCCTTTATAGTTTACTGAACGGCTTCAACTAGCCACACTAGTTGAGATCTCAGTCTCAAGAGTATGCTCAGTAAATGAAGAATGAAAACTGATTTTCAGTCGAAAATATTTATTTTGAAGATGTTATTTCACATAATTATGGACCACTGGGGCCATGCTCCAAAATATCAATGTATCGTGTATCGTCTCCCTCTGAGTTGTGGGCCTTACACGCGTAGTGGCCATAGTTCATATCAGTCACGGAATCGATGTATATATCCGCACCATTATTAGCCACCCGGACATTAGTTGGTGTAACATCACCAAGGGCCTGCGTAAATGAAATAATATATATCACAAAGCGCCTATGTAAACATCTCATATAATTGTAACCAGTGTTAATAGTGTATGGTACATCACCAAGCGTCAGTAAAACTAAGGAGGGTTTGAACGGCGTCCCTCCCCCNCCCCCCCCCCCCCCCCCCCCCATGCCGGTATGAACGCAAATAGGTGACGTCCCTACTGCATGAAGCCAGCTAAGGCTTCATTTTTAATATAGATGTAACCGATTTGCGTTCATACCGGCATGAAAATTAAAAAAAACCCGTTCAATCCATATATTTACTTTTTTCTATAGAACATTTGTTTAACTGTATTTATTTGTTCTAAAATAAATAATTAATTAACTGCGTTTTGTAAATGCGTCGTCCTTTAAGCGACATATTGGTGAAACAGACATATTAGTCAAAATTTGCATCAATAATTAACCGTAGTCATTTGAGCGTTTGACACTGGGGCATTCTCATGTTATTTGAAGCGAAGCGACAAGACTCTCATTGAACAAGGTTAATCTATGACGTCATAAGTAAACCACGTGTTACGTCACGAGAGTTGCTTTCATACTAAAATGAAATGCATTTCTGCTGGTAACGTTCATATTTTGGTTGCAGCGCAAATGTAAATATAACTTTACATCACCAAGCGTCTGTCGAAAAAGCTTATATCATAAGGCGCCTTTGTTAATAAAATAGGTTATATCACCAAGTGCTCGTGCAAATAAAACAGTTGAAATCATCGAGCGCTTGCTTAAAAAGCTTTTTAAACTCCCCAAGCTAATCATACTTGTCTATAGTTTCCTATTATTTCATAGTTAATATAATAATAATGGTTGAACAGCTCAATGCGCCTGGATAAGCTCCGAAGCACAGGACCAGTATATTAATTGTTCCATTTGTACTCAACAATTATATTTTGCTAATTCAAAGTCACTGGATAGTAATAAAATAATAATTTTATCAGTTATAAATCAATAAATATACAATTTCATTTTCTCCTAATGTCAGCTCGGTTACTACTGCTACAGCTGACATCAGGAGAAAATGAAATTTGAAATAAAGTTCCCCAGAAAACGTAAGAAAAATAGGTGCTCTGGACAGATAGTGTGTCCTGTACCCCCTAATAACCATTACATACACGCATCCTCATTAATTAAAGACATACACAACAGAACAGAACTGTAATTATCTTACAAAGAAGTTCCATGCGATGGAGGGAGTTGGATTACCAGTCGCCCTGCAGGTGAGGTGTACGTATGATCCCTTCTTAACGTCATGTAGTCTGGTCACAAAGGTAATCACTGGCTTTGAAACTGTAAGTATAATGATTACAAATAATTTAATAGTTTAATATTGTTTTACAGGTTTCCTTAATCTGCGTGTACTGCATGAACCTTTTTGTTATTGTATTTTATCATTTCCATTTTATCTAGTTCTAAATTTAAATCATACAAAATATACATAAATTGATATGTCTAAAGTATTGGTCGATAATTAAAGTCATACACAACTTGATATGACTAAAGTATTGGTCGATAATGAAGGTCATATATTAATTGATATGACTAAAGGATTGTTCGATAATGAAGGTCATATATAACTTGATATGACTAAAGTATTGGTCGATAATGAAAGTCATTCACACCTTGATATGTCTAATGTATTGGTCGATAATGAAAGTCATACACAACTTGATATGACTAAAGTATTGGTCGATAATGAAGGTCATATATTAATTGATATGATTAAAGGATTGTCCGATAATGAAGGTCATATATAGCTTGATATGACTAAACTATTGGTCGATAATGAAAGTCATTCACAACTTGATATGTCTAAGTAATGGTCGATAATGAAAGTCATATATAACTTGATATGACTAAAGTATTGGTCGATAATGAAAGTCATACACAACTTGATATGTCTTAAGTATTGGTCGATAATGAAAGTCATTCACAACTTGATATGTCTAAGTAATGATCGATAATGAAAGTCATATATAACTTGATATGACTAATGTATTGGTCGATAATGAAAGTCATACACACCTTGATATGTCTAAAGTATTGGTCGATAATGAAAGTCATTCACAACTTGATATGACTAAAGTATTGGTCGATAATGAAAGTCATACACAACTTGATAGGTCTACGTTGTCCGATAATGAAGGTCATAAACAACTGTCTGTCTGTCTGACTTAAGTATTGGTCGATAATGAACGTAATATATAAAATGATAGGTCTAATGTATTTACCAATAATAAACGCCATGCATAAATTTACGAAAGAACAAATCAGTAAAAATTTCGTATTTAACGTGACAGTGCAAAGTTATCAATTATATCTCTCTCCGTGTCGCACTGTTCTGTGGACAAGAAATCATGGACAAGTTTAATTTTGGGAATTAACCACTGTATATAGGATTTGTTTTGCAGAAGCTAAATTCCGAAATGAAGGCATGTTTTCATAACAGAGAATAATAAGTACACACCATCTCATATGTAATAATAACTAATATCTGACTTGGCGAAATTTCCTCCGGTATACAACATATAATAAAGGAATAAACAGTAAACTTTTAGCGAGATTTATATCACTACTATATGCTATTATGTTATTGTTAATACATTTCATCATCGAAAACATGCAAAATAATTAATTACGTGGTGTTGGAGTTGTTGTAGCTCGCGTTGTATGTGTTGACGGTGTCGTAGGCCGATGGGTCGTCGTATGGGGCTTATGGGTCGGCTCATGGGTCGGCCGAGGTGTCGTGGGATGGGTAGGCGCATGGGTTGGCCTCTGTGTAGTCGGTTTCTGAGTAGGTTGTTGTGTTTGAGGCTGAACATGTGTATGCGCTCCACACTGGTTATTGCACAATCGGTCATTGGCACAGCATGACGTACACAGATTGCCTATTTGCCTTTTCTTGCCTATTATAGCTAGAGCATTATTTGCCGTAATTGTTTTACATTCCTGAAAATAAACGTCAAATAATAAATAGCCATGTCACTAACTTAAACTGAAATTATCTGTTCCGTATAGACTTTTATAATTTGACAAGTAAATCTGTAAGGTTCAAATTGAATGATGACCGTAATCCACACATGTGATGCATGGTTGATAGAGTTTGTAAAACAATAAGTTACACTGGCCCACAGAGCTGTTGTACTATGACACCACATTGTGAAGTAAGAAATAAAGAGGTACCCAGGTCAAACATTCTATGTATTCAGTTTTTGAATTATAGACATTAATGTTTTGGGTTTTGGTATATTTGACGCGTATTTATGACTTTTTTATTTTATTATTTGGAGGTTTGATATCACACATTTTATTCATGCACCATTACTTTGAAAAGTCTCCAAAGGGAAACATGCCTTTGACCAATTTACTGTAGCATTGTATATACTTACAGTAGTGTTTTGTAAACTTACTGTAGCATTGTATATACTTACTGTAGCATTTTATAAATTTGCCGTAGCATTGCATATACTTACTGTAGCATTATATATACTTACTGTAACATTGTAATACTTACTGTATCATAATATATACTTACTGTAGCATTGCATATATTTACTGTAGCGTTGTTTATACATACACTAGCAATTTATATACTTACTGTTGCATTATATATATTTACACTAGCACTTTATATACTTACTGTAGCATTGCATATTCTTACTGCAGCATTATATATAATTACTGTAAAATTGCATATACATATACCTGCCTACCATAGCATTGTGTATACTTACCATAGCATTGTATATACTTACACTAGCATTGTATATACTTACTGTAGCATTGTACATACTTACACTAGCATTGTATATACTTACACTAGCATTGTATATACTTACACTAGAATTGTATATACTTACACTAGCATTGTATATACTTACTGTAGCATTATACATACTTACACTAGCATTGTATATATTTACACTAGAATTGTATATACTTACACTAGCATTGTATATACTTACACTAGAATTGTATATACTTACACTAGCATTGTATATACTTACACTAGAATTGTATATACTAACACTAGAATTGTATATACTTACACTAGAATTGTATATACTTACACTAGCATTGTATATACTTACACTAGCATTGCATATATTTACTGTAGCATTATATTTACTTACTGTAGCATTATATATACTTACTGTAGCATTGAATTTACTTACACTAGCATTGTATATACTTACACTAGCATTATATATACTTACTGTAGCATTGTATAAACTTACTCTAGCATTGTATATACTTACACTAGCATTGTATAAATTTACTGTAGCATTATATTTACTTACTGTAGCATTGTGTATATACTTACACTAGCATTGTATATACTTACCCTAGCATTGTGCATTTATATATACCTACTGTAGAATTGTATATACTTACCCTAGCATTGTACATTTGTATATACCTACTGTAGCATTTTCGCCGCATCTACTTTCCCATAGTAGTAGTCCTGAGAGGTCATTCTGCTTCCTTCCGATATAACATTGCTGAGCAAAAGACGTACAGAGGAAAATCAATACTAGGGACAACTACATGTATAATACGAGGACGACAACTGCGTTAGCCTTTACGCCTGTACTAGTACACTTGAAATACATATGTATCTATATTAACATTTTTAGGTACGAAATACATTTGAATTGATATTAACAAAGTCGGTTACGCTTTAAATAAACCTCTGTACTGTTGATATTCAATTTGCAGTTTTTCTTGTAAAAACATTTCTGTATTTCGAGGTATTTTGTTACATTTTTAACAATGTCTTTAACTTTCTTATTAATAAATTGCCAGTCCTCTGTTAAATGACAAGCTGTTTATCATTGTAGCACCAGTCATTGATGCTTGGGCTAAACAGGTGGATATACTGTCCTTCTTTTTCCCTATTTCCTTAAACCACTTCACTTCGAGTGCATGACTCTCTTGACACATATCAACCTGGTATTGATTTCTTGATATTTTTCATAAGACAATTCTCTGTTGCCATGACTCTGTAGTTTGTATTTATAGATTATCACAATGTGTTTTCAGGGTTTGTCGTGAGAGCAATGTTCTCATGTGTTGCAACATACAGCTGTTTCGTCCTTCTAGGACTCATCAGTGATACAAGGGGCCAAAACTTTGGAAACAAAGATTGATCTAAACTACTGTTGAAACCAATTCATGATATAAATTAATGATATAATGCGTTTATCATTAAACGTGCTGCTAAATGAAATTTGTGATCTTAAAGTTTACGGCAAACATCGGGGACTACCTAATCCACCAGCAGAATCTACCACCTACTATCTAATGCAAATGTAGTCAGCTCTGATATATAAAACTCAATGCCAAAACATACTAAATGCACTGCACTATCACACAAAAATGGATATGATTCAAATGAAGTAAGTTATTTATAGATGATCACATTAAGGTTTTTAGTGTTTGTCGTGAGAAAACTGTTCGAACAACAGACCCTGAAAACACAATGTGATGAACTGTTTAACATCTTTATACTACTACCTTATATATTTCTACATTCACTTTTAAAAATTCGTAATTGATATAATATGAATTACACTGTACCATATATCTGTTTCGCCCTTCTCAGACTAATCGATTATGCTAGGAACCGAAAAGTTGGAAATTGAAACTGGTCTGAAGTAATGTTTAACCGGAATGGGGATATGCAATAAAAACATCAATTGTATGATTTAATGAATAAAGTCAAACATATAATGAATAAAGTATGTGGAAAGAACCCTCCCTCAACCGCCGCCCTCCTACACCCACCCTATCCCGATCTCCCCAACCCCTCCACATACATTTCACGGTATTGATACATGGGTTAAAAGAACACTGTCAATATGTGATTCCCTTGTTGGGGAATAAAAAAAATAATAATAAATAAAAATAGATAAACAAAACGTGATGAACTGTATGATTTTTGAAGGTTACTTACATTGTCTATACCACACAGTTTTATTCTGTCACATCGATCCGGCTGTTCCATCTGTTCACAGTTATAACAAATCAGCGCTCCATAGGTCATCAGCGCTTCAATAAATCAATATATAATATTTATTTATTTTAATACATTGTTAATAACAAATAAACGCTTCATAGGTGTTCAGCTCTTAAAATGTATCGATTTATATATATCATTTATATATCATAATCATTTGGTAATAATAAATCAGCGCTCCATATGTGTTCAGCCCTTAAAATAAATCGATTTATACATCACTTTTAAATCATAATTCATTGTATATAACAAATCAGCGCTCCATATGTGTTTAACTCTTAAAATAAATCGATTATATACAAATCACGTTTCATAGGGGTTCAGCTCTTAAAATAAATCGATTTATATATCACTTTTAAATTATTATATTTGTTTTATAACAAATCAGCGCTCCACAGGTGCTTAGCGCTTCAAAAAATCGATTTATAATATATATTTTATATCAGAATACACTGTTAATATAACAAATAAACGCTTGCAAAGTGTTGTAAATAATCGCACACTGCCCCATTTTTCCGATGTTGCTTTGAACAGAAATTTATCTTTATTCACTGTAAATATTGATTAGTATTCGTTTTTCTCAAAGAACATCAAAGCTCAATATAATCTTTTCTTCTATTTTACACATACAGTGCTAGGTGACATCAATCTTGCTTTGTGACGATACTCAACATTATAACAGACTTAGTACATAGTATATACAAGAGCGTGTTTAATGCTACATAGCTATGCTTAGTGCCTTATCTAATAGCAGGTTTAGGGGTTATTATACTATTATAAGCACAACTCACATCTTGACTAATCACTATAATTCGCTTGTGAGTAGATAAGAGGTTGTTGTGTCATCGGTTACAAAACTTACAAATATTCATGAATACACGAATTATTTCCGTACATGAATGAACTTTTGTGGAACTAGAAGAATTTGATGATTGTAAGTTCGAGGATTCGTTCCATGTCAAAATAATTCAATACTCCTCTCAAGAATCGTATCGAACAAACTTAAACAAAAATTCTAAGTGGAATAACTTTTTTAGCATCATAAATTGTAACTTTTACGAAAGAGTAAAAAAGTTTATTTTTTCAAAACAATTTTCTAAACTCAGACAATAAGCCATACCTTTGAACCATACAAAGAAAATGATACGTGGCCACGTGATTTTTTTTTCTTTTTTCTTTATATATATAATTTAACGTAGATTGTGATTTTTGATGAAATTTATCATTTTGATCATATGCAGAGTAGTTTCATACAATATCTTTCAAACGGTGTTAACACAGAAATATATGGATATTTACACAAGCATCATTGAAAAGAATTATATTTTCTTCTAAATGATGGAGGTAAAACGACTTAAAAAATATTTTGATATCAGAAAAGCAGTTTAGGTTTCTCCTTCCCCTTATTTTAAAGTTAAAAAATACTCATTTTGCACCGTTTTGCGCCGTAACGAATCATAGGAAAAGTCCCAATGATTCCCTTTTCTTGATAATCACTGGATTACAAAAAGGTGTTTGGTATTCCTAAAGTAGTAAAGAAGAGTTACTGTGATTTTTTCGCCATTCTATTTTTGTTTTATTTTTCAACTTCTACTAGATCGAAAAACAAAAGGGTTTTAGTTTGATACAAAAGAGTAATGCAAAGCCAATACTGTATAATTTCCACTCTATTTCATTTCGTTTTCACAATATTATATGTTTAGAATTTTTACAATTAAGAATGGCGACACATTGACAATATTAGTGATTAATCTAGCGTAAAAAATGGTGAAATTTGGCAGTGCATGGAGCGCAAAAAAATAAACATTTTCAAAATTGAAGCCGAATTAGAAATTCGTTTAAGAAACACATTTAAAATATTTTTCAAACAAATGGGTATCTTGTTTTTGGATAATTGTTTTCTGCTGCATGTTTGCTTTAAAACTTGAACATAATTTGTTGTATTTAATAGAATTATGTTACACTATACCAAACTAAGATTTGAACGTTATATAAAGTTCAGAAGATTATATCTTTAAGTGAACTTACACTATACAACACTATTGATTAGTTACGTTAACTCTGATAATCAGATATATTTTGCATGCATTCGTTACGGTTATTCAGATATTTTAACAATGCTTTCAGTTAGAAAAGTCAGTACACCTGTAAGTATAGAGATTGTCTAGAAAGCAAATCAGACTCCGTTAGTATAACAGCAGGATACATTTTCCATGTTCTATTTTTAGTGCTTTAAAGTCTCCTATGTTTTGTTTTCGTATACACTATATACTCAAGTAGTTGGGACTTTTTCATTGTTCTTTACGCTCATTCTCTTTCATATACTTCAGTAATACAACGACTGTATCTTGACAATCTTTTCAGTTTACTTGTCTATGGTTCATACATGTATAATCTAATTGTTAATTCACGCAACCCGTGTTTTCAATGGTTATGAGAATGATAAAAAGGATATACAGATATATGTAATATATATATGAAATGTTTTACATCTGAAAAAGATACCATCTAGAGAATTTTGTATCTTCTAAAACTGTAAAAAAAAAACCCACTAAACTAGTATCAGATCCACAAATTTACCAAATGTATATATGTACTTACATTGTACTCATTTCTATTAGTGTACCAACGACTTCAATTACAAACATTGTGCATCTCTATATAAATTTATGTTTACTTTCATTTTACATATATAATATACTTACGCTTAGAATTAGACCTCATTACCAATATATAAATTAACAATGAAAGTAAATATGCCTTATATGTATACATAGATAAATGTATATTTACTTTCATTGTTAATTTATATATTGGCAATAAGGTCTAATTCTTGTAGGTTATTTAGTGTACCTACACATGAGTTACAGACACTGTTTATGCCTGTATGAACATATGGTGTATTGAAATCATGTGACGCACTTTCATTATGAGTTTCAGAGACTGTTTATCCGGATATTGATGAAAGCTTTACACACATTTTGTAGTATATATGTTGCTTTCGTTTTACATTTATAATGTACTTACGCTTTGAGTTACATAGACCGTCTATTGTATTACACATCTTCGTGCTGTTACAACACGTTTTACACAAAGGGATTTTGTTGTCTAGGCTCTTCTTTTCTCCACTCAAATCCAGTGTTGAATTATCGGATCGTTTTCCCATTCCATAACATCGCTGCAATATCATAAAATTCTACCTACATAAACACGTTATTGTTACTTGACACTAAAATCTCTATTTTAGTAAGGAATCCCAGGCTTACTTTCGAAACTGGGTTATTTTCAAGGCAGTCTTATGTCCGAAGCCATTGAGACAGTCAGGCTTGTGCGGCTTATTTTCGAACCATTTTATACAATCAAAGCCATAGTTGTATATTGCTTAAATATTCAAAATGAAATACCGTCGAAAACTCGTGTAATATGCGCTAATTACATAGCTTTAACTATTTTCAGTTGTAAGTATTGTTAACACACAACGATAGTTGTTTTGCAAGGTCCATCATCTTGGAAAGGCGGGAATTATAATGCCATCTTTTCGAACCAGGCCCTCTTTCGAGATATATTCGACTGCAAAGAATCTCAGGCTTTATTTCAAAGCCCGGCCATTTTCAAATCAGCCGTATTATCAAGATTCTTTCGGGGATATATCTTTACAAACCAAAAGTAAATATATATATTTTAGCAATAGATCTATAGCGTCAAATTCTTAAATGCTACCATAAGCGTGACGTCATTTTAGCTTTTACACCGATGACCATTGAAACATTAGTGCAACCCTAGGGCGGTTTTTACATTCATTAACCAAACTTACAAACATAAGATAATTTGAATTTTGCTTTTCTTGTATTAAATATATAAATATTAAATATTGACTTCAAATGTTAATAAAATTCTTCACTACTTTTTATGGCAAGCATACGTGATATAGATACTATTAACTTACTAATGGAAGAATGTAACTATGAACCGCAAGACCAGGATTTTTTTTATCTCGAATGTCAACTTATTAATGATATAAAACATAGCTGTTTAGGTTAAAACTTACGAAGGATGATTCACAACCAATATCATAACGCTTAAGACCTGCTGGTGTAAGGTACTGAACCACAAGACACTCCTGAAATACAATATCGGCAACATTAGGATGTCATTTAATCAATTGAAAAACGATGATTGATTGTATAATTGTTTTATATATTTTTTAAGGAACCCCGTACCACTGCCAAAAACTGCAACAACGGATCGAAAATTGATTTTCCTGCATGATTTTAGCTTTGACAAAGTATTCTTGAAAAACCAATTATACCCTGCCGGACATTATAGAAAAAATATTAGCGATGAAATAAACAAAATATAATCAACAACAGTGTTCTTAATGCGAAAAACCACCAGTAGCGCTAGACCGGGATTTGAACTCTTGACCTAAGCTTGTATACTACCACTCTAGCCGAATGATCTGTCTGGTGTACGGAAGTCAATGTATGAGATATCTGGTTTATTTGCATATTTTTAGCATTTACTATTAGATTTACCCAGATGTAGTGAATGCATGTATTCTTGTGTACAGTCTACCTTCATAAAACATTTCTTTCACGATTAGAAGCTTTGGACTCTTTTATAAGTGAGAGTCACGTTTCAGGTAACACACATCATTAAGTTTTGTTTCTTTCATTTTTTTCTTCATTATCAAACTTTCATTTTGTTTTCTTAACATTATTAATCTATCTTTACGTCACAATTGCGTTTATATTAGTATATTAATTAGGTCGCATATTACATAAATGAAATAGAAATGAATAACGTGATGCTAAGTAACTTCAACAGAAATTAATTCGCATTGATCACTGCACCAAAGGAAATTTAGCTACTGAATGCAGCTCTGATTCCTAATGGTGCTAGCAACAGGCGCGGAAAATTGCACGACCAGACCGGAGTTCGACCACAGGACCTTCCGAACTCTAGACGGAGGAGCTTCCTGGTCGCCCGACGATCGACCCAGTCCAGTTCTGCTACAATAATATGGTAGTCAATATTCATTCGGAACACCTCGTCCCGATAACAGTACCTTTCATCAAGATGACCGAAGTAAATCGGTGTTCCGAGTAAGTCAATAGTAAGATTACCTCGTGATCACCACATTCGGTTACGACATCACAGTCACGTGGTTCAACAATTAGGCTACACGACCCACATATTTGTCCCGCATCTACAAACGAAACAGAAGTATGAATAAGTTCGTTTTCGGTATTCTGAAAGTTTCTTCAATAACATGTGATATTGGTTATCGCACCAACGATCTAAATCACTCAACATTTCGTGAACTTTCACTTTCCTTTCTGACGTCCATACAACATCTAGTTCAGACGTACACAAAAAAATCATTTCCAGCTAAAATTCAACGTCCAAACAATATCAAAGTATTTGTTGTTTCAATGATGATCACACTGGGCGTTTGATAACCCCGGTCAGCCGTAAGTCCAAGATATATTGATAGCCCTGATCTAGATGGTCAGAGAGCGCGTTTGACCGTGAGGCATAGAGCGCGGTATGGCGGCCCTGGTCGAGAATGAGGCTTTGAGCAAATGACAGCCTAGGCGACCGATTCTACTCCATGTTTTGAACCCAGCAATACGTTATGGAACATGAGAAATGTTTTAGTTATAACCAAATTTAGAGTTTGATGTTCATCAGAATAATCACCTTCAAGACACAAAATGTGTCTTCGCAATAAGCAAGAATTCACATTGTAGCAAGTTGAGATCGCAAAGCTGTTTAAAACAAATTTTACAAGAAAGTTAAATGAAAGATACTTAAAGGAGTAATTCTAATAAATGATATAAATGTTCATGTGTTGGAACTAAATCGCGTTTCTATATTTTCGTACTTTTATATATAATGGGAGAACAGCCATTTTTGAGTTCAAGTGAAATATAACGACAAAGAAAACCAGCTTTACCTGTTAAGCCAAATAGGACAGCAAAGCAGCACAATGTGATTCTGAAAAGAGAGAAAACGATTGCGAAAATTTGCAGTGCTTGGGGTACGAAGCAACTTATGATGATTGCAAGGACAATATATTCTTATGCAAAACAACATTGATTTCTTTTCATTTAAAAAGGAAAGATGGTTTATTCCGTTGCAAAATTTGGGGTGAAAATAAAGTGACAAAAACCGTATTTCGAACTCTAAATGGATCATATCAAAAATATGAATAGAAGATATATTAAAATGGAGGCCTTTGACAAAGTACAAGATGATTAAAACCAAGGCCCATATTCATGAACCATTTCTCTGCACCCAATACAATGCATTTGATTTTTTATAACGGTGTTGAGGTTATAAAAGTAAAAAAATGTTAATGACTTTGAAGAAATGATTTACGCGAGTTACAAGAAAGCTCGTTTGAACAGGAAATATATGCTTGAGCATGAGAACGAACGATTTCATAAATAACAGCTCGGGTATAATCGAAGATACTTGTCATATAAATCTGGGCCAAATCCACAAAAACTAAACCCGAGATGTGACAGCTAAAACTTCAATTGATAATCAATTAAATTTCGCTAAAGCAATGCATTAACATCAAGTCAACAATACATTGATGAAAATGCATTGACAAAATTTAATATTACAAATATGTCAGAAACAATTGTCCCCCTGGGGTTAAAATCCCTTGCTTAACCATCGATTCCACATAGGTGCACTCGTTGACCTCTAGTTCAAATATTTTAAGGTTACCTTGATTTTAATACAGTTTCTGCTTTCAAAATATTTTTAATCTGTTTTCGTTTGTTTTGCAATTGTCAAATTTTAAATGAACTTTAAAATAAATGAAAGAAAAAGAGCTAGCCAGTAAATATTTATGAGGATATGAGGGTTGGGAAATTCTACCGTCGAGTGTAAATTTTTCATAATTCCCATACCTACATATGACAGACACTTACATTGTTTTTAAAACAAATGTCTTTTTATTAAACATCATAACAAAACGAGATCATTTAAATAGCCGCAATTAGGTAATCTTACCTAATTATGCTATTTTGTTTAGCCTTATTTTTCAACAACATCTCTGTAAGACGTTTTAAACATGGTTCGTTATCAAATCATTTATCACTTACCTAATTATGCTATTTTGTTTAGCCTTATTTTTCAACAACATCTCTGTAAGACGTTTTAAACATGGTTCGTTATCAAATCATTTATTCAAGCTACAAAAGGTTAAAACAAAAACAAACAAATAAATAAAAAATAAAGATAAATGAATTTATAACGCCAATAAGAAATGACGTCATTCTTCTGTCCCAGAATACAATTATCTGCCTCTATAGAACCTGTTAATTTTAGTTTTGTTTCTAATATTAGCCTATACCACCCCAAAGTCAAAATAACAGTCAAATTTAGATCTCGTTAATACCATATGCTATTGTATATCCTATCGTTGTAGTTTTGAAAATGATAAAAAAAACTGAAAATTTAACGCATACCGTGCCTATCTAGAATAAATCGTTCATATAAAGACAAATATTTTGTTTAATGATCTTCATCAAGTGCTTTTCATAAGATTTATACTTAAAAAATGTCCCAAAATTAAGAAATACACAGCATACCTTGAAATAAAGTGCGACTCCATGGCGAACGAGGTCAGGCTTTAGAGGGGAACAGTGAGCGATAACGAGGCATTCGGTGTGGAGTGTAGCTAGGTACAATCAATTGAACCAGATAGATAAGAGAAAAGGGACACCGTTCTCAATCCGAGCCATCCAAACAAGTTAGAATTCCACATTTGTAATATAATATATATACTTTACCCATTATTTAATTTCAAAATAACCAGTTCCCTGATGATGTCATACTGTTGAGTTATATCCCCAATGTTTTGGGCCCAAGCATCACCGATGAGACACAGTACGACGAAATAGCTGTATGGTACAGTTTAGTTCAGTTTTGAAATACAGTATCAATTACCCAATTGTAACGGTGCACTGTGTCTTTCGTTTATCTACGCAACATTTTAAGTACAGTATTTTATTTTTTATTTTTTTCTATTTTACTGCTATTCACTTCTTTGACATATTTTCTTTCGTTATTTATTGATTTGGTGATTCGTTCATTTCGGTTTTCATTCATTAACTTCCACGTATTTTGGCAATTTAAACTGAATTCATTAGTTCTTATTGTTGTTCATGTGTTCGTCTAAACTATTCTGTCGTAGCCAGTTCTCTCATGTATACATCTGTCCCTACATCCGTTCAATAGTGAGATGTTCAACTATTCCAAAGAAACGTTTATCGAAAACCTGTCATGTTAATGACTCGCGCTTCATTTAACGAAATCCTCTAAAGTTTTCGGGCACTATCGTTAAATTTGAAACATATTCGACATTTTTCAAAGATTTTTTATAACAAACGTTGGATACAATATGTATTACAAGCTGAGCATGTAAGTTTAATAAAAACTGTATTTACTTGACAGCAATTATGAGACATGTTATTTCAACTTATATCAATAACTCTTGTTGGCCCCGATGTTAGCACGCGGTGACGTCTTAGCCTCATAGATAGCCATAGAATACGCGCACACTATGCACATTGATGTTTGAAAGAGTTCAATAGGTATATCTGTGATTATAATACCGTTGTATTCTTGCACCTGAACATCGAGATTGCTAGAATAATAAATCTAAGTACTGTCATACAGGTAATAGGTCTCAGAAACTTTCGTGCTGTCGTTTTGTTTACATAATGAGGACAAAGGCAAATGTTTCAAGTCATCCAGGTAGAGGTCACTATCCCATATACACATAATTCACCATATTGTTGTTCTCAAAATACCTTCATTATAGCCGAAGTCTAAATGCCGCAAAATGATGCCAAGGACCTCTACAGATAATTTGCTTACTGATTAAAATTCGCAATGAAGAATGTTTCAGATTAATGAAATATAAAATGTCTCTAAATTTTTAGCCACAAAACATTTTTCTGCCTTTCCAGTTTACGTATGCTTCTTTTTTTTGTCTTATAATTCAAGTTTTTTTTATCCATAATATATTTTTCTGAAAATGGTTAAACTTCTTCATCATTCAATTTACATCAGGTTAGGTAAGGTATCTCAATTTCCTGAAACTATGTAATGGTTAAGGCTCTTAGTTGTGAGAAGAATACATTTTAGCTTACAGTCTATGTTTCCAATTATTTTTGTTAATTCTTTTTTGACCAATTAAATGAAACACCCTGATTAACCTCCAGCTGATAGTACCATATTTAATGATCGTTAATAGCATGCTGTTCATTTGAAATCAGCATGTTTACAATAACAATATTTCGCATCAACCGAAAATCTATTTTATAAATACAGCTGCATGAAATGTTAAGTACGGCCTGTATTAAAACACAACCTTGCATTCTCTCTTGTAGCAGATGTCCTCTTATTAGATTCAGTTGACATGAAAGAGTTGCGAAAGTACATGTTAAATGAGATCTCTTTAGAGAGGTGTCTTCACGGAGTTGGTCTTTAATTTGAGTTCGTCTTTTGATCTACTGACTAGGTTCCTGTCGTTAGACTTGCAGTCTGAACCCAAATACCAGAAAACAATATTTTCTTTCACGAAATACCTTTTCTCCCCGCATTCGACCGTTTTATATATACGGATGCCATGCGATAGGGTCGGGATGGGGTTGGGCATGTGCACTTCCTGCTAGCACTGAAAATCTTGGGAATGCCAATAACGAAAACGAAAACACACTAGTCGGGAGATATCTCTTTAAAGAAGAATGTGGAATTTCAGCCATTTGCTTTCATATTTACAAACGTTTTATTTTGGACAAACAAAATTAGCTTGCTACTTATTTACGTCTATATCAGAAGTATACATGGCCCCCTATTTACCACATGGCTACCAATGTACGTGATGTTAGTTCCGGAAACTTGTATCTCGGAAACCACGTATTCATACATGTATTCTTATCTATCAATGTGTACGTAAATTGGTTGTTGTACGATCGTGTTCACAGTTAGTTTTAACCTCTTTTCATTCTATTTTTATATGGAGTTCATTAGTATCACAGTACGTTTTGTATTTCTTATTTTGTGTTAATCTTTTATCATTATGCACTCTTAATATTTGGAGGGATATGGAATGGGGTCGCTGTTTAGGGTAAAAATTGAAAGAACAGGTAGAGAGTCTCAAAACGGCAATGAAGAATATTCAGTTTTCAAATAGCATGTTATGATTGAAACACAGTTGAAACAATTTAGTTTATTATTATAACCAAGTCGTATGGAGTTCTGCTTTGTAATGAACATGCATATAACCTGTTGTTACACGTCTAGAAATACTGAAATAATAATAAATAAACAGCTTAATCTAAATTTTTGTATACATAATTGTTGATATGTTCAAGCTATAAAACTCGTGGCTATTAGCTACATATACAGTTAATGTTTTTACATGTTTCTAATCAAATGTCAATTTCTGAAGTTCGGCATTTAACTGGAAACAAAGGCGTTTTTCTTAAAATACTTCACAATACACATGAAGTTAGAAGATATACAAGTAGCAGGTACGTTTATACGAAAGTGTGCAATTCTTACACTTAAAAACATTGGTAAGAGAGTAGGAGGTTGACTTTAATTTGTGTGTTTTCCATCGCATTTAATGATTAAGGTATCAAAATGAATCAAAACCTCAATTCTCCCACATCCACTATAGGTTTCCTCGCTCCCGACTCTTTGAAAAAACCTGCTAAGATCTGGTAAATATTTTTTGTAACCTTCTAGTGGGTAGCACAGTGCACGTGATTTTGTTGGTCAATCGTTTGATTTTACGCACAATAACAATGGTTTGCGACGTCATCTTCCATTGTGGCGTCAAAATTCATGGCGTTAGTTTATTTTCAAATTGAAAAGAGGCGCAGTAACTTTGTGTCTTAATTCAATTTGAATATAACCCAAGTAAGATAAACATGATAACAAGACATACTCGTTGGAAAACTTCTCTATACATTGAACCACATTGTGTTATTACCAGAATGCAATATATCATAACAGTTTATAAAAACAGCATGATTGAAAGGAGCCAGAAAGGAATCTGCTGGATTCACGAAGGAAGTTTTCTGCAAGGTCTACCATTAATAATTAACTTACTTGTTTTAAACATTAGAGAACATGCGGAATATATATAAATATACAAAACAATGTTTGGGTCGTTTCTGTAATAATTTGCCATAGGGTTAAGGTATGAGCATAAATGAATACATTATTATATACGTTATATTTAAATTGTTAATGTGACATTTTATTTATGAGATGAAATATGTATCATAATTATAAGACACTATTATAATAGGAGAATGGTTATATACACACACAATATCATTAACATGGTATGAGGCATTACCATGAAACTACAGATTATATCAGATAAGTCATCTACGACTTTCCCTGCTTGTTTAGATAATGTCATTACCAATAAAAACCTGGATCGGCCAGGAGTGCTTTGATATTCTATATTAAAGTCATGTTCATAAAAATATGTTAGTGCGCCGCTACTATGTGATTCACAAGTGTTGTAAACTCCATCCATCCGTAAATATCCACTCGAGCATGGCGTGGTCAGGTCAACGGCTTCAACGGTCAGTTCAACGAAGGTCAAGTTATCATTTTACCGTTGCTAATCACGTGATAAAACAATAGATGTCGTCATAGTCCAGGCTAGGATAATTTCATGATGATATGTAATGTGTTTCACTAACAAATTCAATTGATCCGCCGCAGTCTGCATAGAAATCAAACAAATTATAATAATATCATCTTTAGTATGAATTTAAGTGCTAAACATAGAGTTAATCTTTTAGCACACATGCTTAAAAGTGTATTCTTTATTGCTTAACCATCTTTTTTATCAACAAAAATCAATTTCTGTTGTAATAACGTTGACATTAAACTGCAGATAAACTGGGCTCTCTATAGGACACTTTGTTATTTTGTTTAATTTCGAAAGTCTGCCACACTTTACTTTGGTTCTCATTTAACTAAAAACAGAAACTAAGAAATGGTGCAAATCACATCAAAATTATTCATGGAAGGTTTAAAACAAATCTAACAAATGAAATTTAACAAATTCAAAATCTCAACAGTTTATGGACGGCGTAATGCTCACAACGCACGCTGTAAGAAACTGACTGGCTTTTTGTCATCATAAAACCTAGGAAACTAAGTAAATTTGATAATTGAGTAAACTTACTTGCTCGTACACTTTCAACTTCTGTAGAAACGCTTTCAACAGCTTCACCGAGACCAAATCTCAAAGTTCATACCGGGGTGATAGCGTGTATTGATGACGTAGATAAACGTATTATCCTTGTTTAAGATGGTGCTATGCCAATCCTTTCCGGTTGTCACCATGTTTTTACTGGAATTCGATGTAACAATACCATCCGTCTTAGTGGTGTTCTTAAACCGGAAGTGAACTTTATAACCAATGACGTAGCCAGGGTTTCGGTTCGGTGCTGTCCACGTCACAATGAGTCCATATCTTGATGACGTCACCTGGACTCGCTTCGGTTTTTCCGGAGTCGGTGCTACAATCAAATATTTGTATATTGAAACATGTTCCAAATGGAACGCAGTTTACCAATAATGAATTAAATTTCAAGTTTCTAACGTATTCTTTGGTCAAATGCTTTAGCTGTTAGATCTAAGTGTC